AACTCTAAACAGTATAGACCTCTTTGAGATGGTGATGGTTCAGTTTTTCAAAAAAATTGAGGAAGAAAAAAAACGTGCCTGAGTCTAAATCATGAATTATGGGAAGAAAAGAAACAAGAGAGGGTTATGACTTGAACAAAACCTGTCCCCCGACACCAAAACACCAAGTATTAACTGCCCAATCTTGCTGTTCATATGGAAGACAGGAAAGGAGCTGACCCTTGGAACTTATACATCACCTCTTCTCTAGGGTGAAAAGTTCTTGGGGACTTTAAATACTAGGCATGTATTTTAACCTGAAGCAAGACCATGAGGTTCAATGTACTTTTTTCATATACCAATGGCTGTGGGCCCTTGAGAAAGTCACTTAACCTCTTCTCTGTTCTCCCATTTTTCTTAAGTCATGATAGCAATAACTAACTCTAGTTAATTTTCTAGTGAGTTTAATTATCTAGTAAGTCCTAAGGCTGAATCAAACATACCAAGTGTTCTGCAAACACAAGAAGTTACTCTGCAGGTACAAACTCCATTTCTAAATTTTCCCTTTGAATCTGACAACAAGGACCACGCAGTATAATGCTGGGAAAATTATGATAGAATCACTGCAGGATCACTGGAGATTTGACTTTTAAAATGTTGGCTTTAATCTACCGCCCTGAAACTGATCTCCACTTTCTCCACCTATTTCCAATAAATGACACCTTACATTCAAGGAACTTTCTGCTTTCACATACACTGTCATTCCAAATGAGATGGCGGTCAAGGATCTTCCCACCACAGTGATGGTGACTCGGAGGCATTCAGTAAATGCTGGCTTCCCTTCCCCTTCTCTGACTCATAATATTTGGGAACTGCCCTCAAGTCATACAGCTCATGGGAGGTGGCAGAGCAGGGACCCCAATGCAGGTTTTGAGATGTGAAGATTTAGCACTGCTTTTCATGGCTCACACTATTGCCTCACACTGCTTTCTACCATTTGGGTCAGCAACAATTGCCAAAAATGGTGACTTTCCTGTAGCCCACCCCTCTGTAACATTCCTTTAGCAGTGCTTGACTATCCCTATTGAAAAGACTTTTTTCCGTGGTTTCTACGACACTAGTTGTGGGAGTGTGGGAAACATCAGAGGCCTCATTGAGGTTGATGGTAGAAAGGAAGGAGATTTTATAATTATCCCAAACACAAAATAACTCAAAACATTTAGTACATGAAATTTGCCAGAAAGAATTGTGTCACGGTTCCATTGATTTTGTGATAGAGAAGATTCGTATCAAGTTGGAAGCCAAAATCAAAGATGAACTCTAAATGTCATGTTCAGAAATCTACTGGCAGCCTTTCAGACTACATGTCTCAGTAAGTCACATTTTGTATTTTTAAAAAAATTTTCCATTAGATTCCTGTGCTGATTATCCCCATGCCTCTCTGGATTTTTCCATCTTTATCTCTTTCTCTGATTTACATACCTCTGCCAGCTCCCCAATTGTGGATAATGCCTCCAACGTTCCATCCTTCTTTCTCTCATTCCCCTTCAAAGTTCAGTAATAATCTCCAAACAAATATTCCTAGTGATGGCCCTTACTTTGAGCACAAGTGGAGACCTCTATTTCAAACTGCCTTCACGTTTCTCAAAAGAAGATTTCAAGCTTAATCAGAATCTTCTCTCAATTCTGCCCCTTGCACTCTCACTCTCTCTCTCCTTGACACAAAGGTCTAAAATTGAAGAATCACCTTGGACTGTTCTAGCCCCTTGCCCTGCACAATGATAAATTATAACTTTTTGTGCACTTGACCTCTACAGTTTTATTCAACTCTCTATCAGTGGTGTGCTGGAGCTGGCAAAAGGCAATTAAATTTCAGGAATTTTGCTGAAATAAATATATTAGAAATAGAGGTTATACTCAAAACTCGTTTCTTATTTTATGCAGTTGAGGTGAAAATATTATATAATGATGTGCTACTGCTCATCTCTCCCCAGTGACCTCACGTTTGTAGCTTAAAATCATCCATGGTGGGGATATTCACACCAAAGAAATTGCAAATACTACTCCC